TTCCAGACCTTCCACCGCTAGAAGATGTCGGACCAAGTTGTACCCTGGAGGGAGGTTTCTTTGTAACGCGCGCGAGCTCTTGCCCTTGGTGGCGCCTGTGATTGGCCTTGGGGCCTCATTGCCGTGTTGGCTCGGTCCTGTTGACCATGGCGGCTTCCAGGCCCAGGTGGCCGGCTTCAGGCTGGACCTGTCCTTCCTCCGTCCGAGTTTCCCTCTTCATGCATGTACCCAACAACGACAGAGAGGCATCGAACAGGTTGATGGCTCTGGTGGCCCCGTCCCCTGCGGCGCAGGTCGCCCCTGAGTAGCCTGTTCGGTTTTCTGTCATCCCAGGAGGGGCGGCTTCCCACCGTTTCATAGCCTCAGTCGCCATGAGCCCCGGCCTCTACTCATCTCCCCCTCCTTTATCTTTTGTCTCTTGCAATGCAGAGAATTTGGCCGCCACAGTACTGGGCACACTGCTCGTCGCCGCGGGTTTTAGAGCCCCTCGCCCCGTGCAGCCCCCCCCTGTCCAACGAGACAACACACAAGTGGAGACCAAGAACACTGCCAAGCGTCCCGCACCCGGCCCTGCAGAGCCCACCCGGCCCCGGACCAAGGTCGCCCGCCAAGCCCAGGAATCACATCCAGACCCAGGAGCCCCTTCGAGGAATGAACAAGCAGTCCCAGAAGGTGAGAACCCAGCACCTTTGCCTGTTGATCCGCCTTGTGAAGCCACACCTCCTCGCATGGGTAGCAAGGATAGGCCTAAGATGCGGGGGCGCTTGAGAGCCTGTGCCGCGGTCTGGAAGGCGACAGTGGTGAACCAGCTCATGCTGAGCTGGGTCCTGCAAGGGTTCCCTCTGATGTGGCACTCAGGACCTCCCCCCCCGGCCGTACTGGGGCAAGAATCACCAATCTGCACGGGACCACGGGGATTTTGTGTCTTCTGCCATCGAGGGTTTGCTGGAGTCAGAGACCATCAAACCTTGCCAGTCCCGCCCTTTCATGACCTGTCCTTTGGGCGTCGTAGAGCAGAAAGGCAAGCTCCGCCTCATCTGGGATGGACGCGAAGTCAATAAGCACCTGCACATCCCGGAGTTCCGTTATGAGTCGCTTGCGCAGGTCCCAGGCTGGCTAGGCCCCAAGGACTACATGTTC